GGATAGCGGTTTTCTGATTTAAGTAGGAAAACATTAACTTTTTTTTTATATAAAAGTGAATATATTGGTTCCAGCACACATAGTTATCTCCAACAATGTTTTATTCTTATAAAACATTTAAGTGTAGAGCGGCATGGTGTTAGATCGCATGGTGTCAGTGTGATACTGGAGTAAAACTTCCCTCTCTGTCCCTGCGGTCCCACCTCTTCATAGCGGTCTCTTCATACTTGAAGCGATCATTGTTGCAGTCTTAGCGCAGCCTGCATGTTCTCCGTGTTTTATTGTGAGCAGACGGTCAGCAGTAAGATCTGTAAACAGAAGTGGATGCATCTAAACAGACTGTGTTTTGTGGAGCTAGGGAATAATCCACGGCGCACATGATGCCTTTGTGATGGATTTACGGAAGCGCTCGGAAATGAGGATGGAACAAAGAATATAATATAATATAAATTCATTATTTGTACATCTTTAAATATCTGGGTGGCTGTGGCTGAGAGGTTAGAGCAATTGTCCTACGATGCGAGAGTTGGGTGTTCAAATCTACCAGCAGTCACATGCCGAAGTGTCTCTGGGCAAGACACTGACCCCCTCATAGCCTCTGATGTGTGTTCCATCGGTGTTTGAATGTGATAAAGCTCTGATTAGTCTTGTTAGAATGATTTGTTCAATCAGCTTTGTAGAGATCTAATAAAGTGCTGTATGAATGGGTAAATGAGGACACAGACTGTAGTGTAAAGCACTTTGAGTGTTTTGAATTAAGATAGAAAGGCGCTATACAAGTACAGTCAATTTACCATTTACCATTTAAATCCTTAGGTTTGCACTTTCCCCCCTATTTTCTTGTAGGCTACGTCTAAATGCTGATGTTGTGACAGCTGTACCATAGTTTCACGGTCGCATATTGTCTTTTAATGTCTCACAAAAAATATATTATCTTGTCTGCACTTACTTTTGGATTTTAAAAATCTTGATCATATTTTTAGGAGGTCATTACCATACATGAAAAACAAAACAACAGATACACATGCAGCATAAATATTGCTGAACTTAAATTGACCTTGAAATGGGGGGGGGGGGGGGGATGGCATGCTTTATGAAATTGAATATTAAAAACAATAATAATACATACAAATATTTATGATTAATTTGAAGAAATTTGCTTTTTTTCACATTTAGTTCTTAGACTTTTTTTTTTCCTGAACAATGAATTATTCTATTATAATTTATAAATACCTCCATGCTATTTTATTTTTATTGTTTTATGTTGGTGTTTTTTATTGAATGACATTGAGGTTAAGTTCCAAGCTTTTTTTTTTTTTTACGAGTTTCATTATCACTGAATTTGGAAGCATTCATCATCACATGTTCTCAAAGAAAACAACAGTGTATTTAAATTTATAAATAATTGTCTATAAGTATTTTTGTTTACGCTTTGCACTGGTTGTAGTTAGGATTCCCATCGCCCGGTGTCACTATGGTAAAATAAACATCTGCACTGGTCTCTGAACGGATGCTGTTAGTCTTTACTTGATGCAGGGGTGTTCAGCATCGAGCTGCCTTTGAGATTTTTAATTTGTATTTTCTGCTTGACTATTGCCACTACCAACACATGATGAATTTTTTCCTCAATAGAAACTATTTGATTCTTGTTTTATGGTGGATTTATTGTCTCTAAGGAGGATTATAGCTGCGTTGTTTTGTAACCATGGAACAAAGAAGAGCCGAAGCGTGCGGGCAGAGACGATGTTTTCTTGGATGTGCGCTCGCGGTGCTTCTTTGTCGAGCTGCTTTTGCACAAATACGATATTCAATTTCAGAAGAGGTCAACGAAGGAGTTGCTGTCGGGAACATAGCGAAGGATTTGGGTTTAGAAAAAAGCACGCTGACAGAAAGGAAATACAGGATAGTGTCTGGTGGTGCGTCTCCTCCTTTTCACGTTAACCAAAACGACGGTGTTCTTTACGTAAGCCGACACATCGACAGGGAAGAACTGTGCGAGCACAGCACGTCGTGCGTATTAAACCTCAAAACCGTGCTTGAGAACCCGCTGGAGATCCACTATGTCGCTGTCCAGGTGCTGGATTTAAATGACCATTCTCCCAGTTTCCCAGATAAAGAAAAAACGTTGGAGATTTCCGAGTCCGCGCTACCCGGAGTGCGCATCCCGCTCCCCCCAGCACGAGATCCAGACGTCGGACCTTTCTCCGTCCAGCATTATAAACTCAGCTCCAGTGATCACTTTCGTTTGGAGGTTAAGGACAAAGGGGAAGATGGGAAGATACCCATTTTAACTGTGCTTAAGTCTTTGGACAGAGAGGCGCAGATACGTCACTCATTAGTGCTGACGGCGCTGGATGGAGGGAAACCGCCCAAATCCGGAGAAATGCAGATTATAATAAATGTTTTGGACATAAATGATAACGCCCCTATTTTCTCCCAAGATGAATATTCGGTGATGATCGATGAAAATGCACCAATAGGTACTTTAGTTTTACAGCTAAACGCAACTGATTTAGATGAAGGTCCGAACGGAGAGGTGGTTTACTCATTCAGCAGTATGGTTAATGAAAAAATATTAAAGTTGTTTGACATAAATCCGACAACTGGTGAGATAACTGTAAAAGGCAACATCGATTTTGAAGGAAGGGACAGATATGAAATAGAAATTCAGGCCTCAGACAGAGGTCTATCTCCTTTATCTACACAGAAAAGTGTGGTAATTAAAATAGTTGACGTGAATGATAACGCTCCTGAGATTGAAGTGACGTCATTTTCCAGCTCGATTCCTGAAGATTCGAGACCAGGAACTACAGTCGCTCTGATCAGTGTTAATGACCTGGACTCTGGTCTGAATGGAAAAGTTATTTGCTCGATAAGTGATGACGTAACTTTTTCTTTAGCTCCATCCTTACAAGACAAAATGTTTTCTTTAGTTATCAAATCCCTTCTGGACAGAGAGAAACAGTCAAATTATGTCATAACAGTAGTTGCTAAAGATGCAGGTCAGCCTTCACTGTTATCTGAGAAGACAATCAACATGGTGGTGTCAGATGTAAATGACAACAGACCAGAGTTTTTAATGAGCCCATATACTTTTTATATCAAAGAAAACAACGATCCAGGAGCTTCAGTGTTTTCTGTTAAAGCATATGATCAAGATGAAAATGAGAATGCTCATATTTCATATCTTATTAAAAGAGATGGAAGTGAGGAGAGAACATTAGCCTCATTCTTAAACATAAACTCAGAGACTGGAGACATTGTTGCGCTGAAGAGTTTTGACTTTGAGATTCTGAAAACCTTCCATTTCCAAGTTGTGGCCACAGATTCTGGAGCTCCGTCTCTGAG